TCTAAATGTTGGGGATGCTTACTGGAGTCAATATAGTCATTTAAGTGTGAAAACAATTAATAAAATCAGTTGGGAGAGTCGGTGCATCGATGCATACCCAAGGTGCATCGGTGCATCAGTGTAAAATTCAAATATTTTTACCGTTGGACCCTTAGTGCATCGGTGCACTAAGAGTGCATCGATGCATCAAGTGCATTCGATGTTTCAAAATAGCCAGAGTGTATCGATGCATCAAATGCATTCAATGTTTTCATAAAATTCTGAGTGCATCGTTGCATAGTATGTGCATCGGTGCATGAAATGCATTCGATGTTCAATTTATTAATGGTGCATCGATGCATGGCTTGGTGCATCACTCTAAAAAAATGATTTTAGGCTTGATTTTGGTTCAAAATACTTTGTGAAAATTGTTTCAAAAATATATTAAGTATAAAACACAATTTTACACATTTAGTAAGGTTTGAAATTGATCTTGAAAGACTTGGAGTAATATTTTGATATTCGATTAATTAGATCGAATATACTTAGAAAATCATTTGTAAAATCTTAAAATTCATTTAAACTTAATTTGTTATATCGAAACAAAAATGTTTTCAACAATTTTGTATATTGATCAAGAACATTCTATTATTTGACAACGAAACTTTAGCAATGAAGTTATTGTTATCATCTTTTATAGAAAGATTATAATTCTTCATATGAATATCATAACCTTTCTCTACCAATTGCCCTAAACTTAATATGTTACTTTTTATATTGGGCACATAGTAGGCATTGGAAATAAATTGATGTCTCCCATCTTTCAAACGGATAAGGATGTTACCTCTCTCTTTCACTGCTATTGTGGAATCATCTCCAAACGAAACATTTCCACTTACTGACTCGTCTAGGTCCACAAACATGTCTTTCCTTTCACACATGTGATTGCTTGCACCATTGTCAAGATATCAGGAATTTGCTTGGCCACCATCAATTTCCTTTCGTGCTAGAAGAAGAGTTTATTTGTCATCTGTATTTTCCTCCACGTAGCTGGCCTTCTCCTTAATTTTTTTGTTGGGAGCTCTACATTCTGAAGTATAATGCCCAAACTTCTGACAATTATAACATCAAACTTGAGATTTGTCATACTTTGAGTTCGGATTGATTCTTCCACGACCTCGTGTTGAGTTTTCTCCTTTCTCATAGTTGTTGTTGGACTTGTTATTGTTGTAATTCCAGCATCGTCCACGACCATACTTTCACCTTGTCCATGGCCTCTACCTCTGCCTAGGACACGTTGGTTTCTATCATTGCGTTGGCTTTTATGCATATCCTTGAGTTGCAGCTTGAGGAGTTGCTCAATAAACTCATGTTTCTTCTTAGGCTTCTCTTCGTATGCTTGCAATGATCCTTGGAGTTACTCGATCGTCATTTCTTCAAAGTCTTTAGTTTCTTCAATCGTTATGACAATGTGCTCAAATTTGGATCCAACGAATGGAGTTTCTTCTCTATTATCCTCACATCTTCTAACTTTTCACCAATTCTTTTTAATTGATTGGAAACAACTACTACTATTGAGAAATAATCTAAAATAGACTCGGATGCTTTCATATTTAAGGATTCGAATCCATCTCTTAATGTTTGGAGACGGGTCTTCTTCACTTGCTCGGATCCTTTGTAAGAGGTTTGCAGCTTCTCCCATGCTTCCTTGCTAGAGCTTGCACTTTAAATCTTTTCAAAACCATCATCATCTAATTCTTGATAGATGAGGTAGAGAGCCTTCTTGTCTCTTTTTCTTGAATCCTTCAAAGTTGTCTTTTGATATGGTGTAAGAGTAGCAAAAACAGTATCATCCGCAGGCTCGTTATAGCCTTTCTCTATGATATCCCACACATCTTGTGATCCAAGAAGTGCCTTCATTTTGATACTCCAGTTGTCATATTTGTTGTTGTTGAGTGTTGGAACCTGGAATGGTGCCATACATTTTTCCATATCTCTCAATATAATGACAATTTTCAAAATCCGATTGCACGGATGAATCCAGAATGCCGAAAAACCTTGGGAGGGACTTGGACGGCTCGATCAACAGGCTTACGGCTAGGTCAACTCGGCTTAACTTGGTGTGTCAACTCAATTTCCTGGCAGCAGTATTCCGACAGTGCGTGGCGGGGCGTCATAACTTAGATTGGAAAGATTCTAATAGCGTCGGATTCCTCTCGTCGAGACCTTCGATCTTTTAAACTCGCTCTGATGCCACTTTGTTGGAAATGAAACACTCACACAAACAACTTTTATTGAAACTCAAATAAATATTACAAGAGAACTCTCACTCAAAAACAAGATACTACAACTCACTCTTATAAGACTTTGCTTCTTCACTCACTTACAAGCTCTTAATTTTTCTTGATTCTTAAACTAAAATGGGGAGGGTATTTATACTACTTAAGAACAATCCTACACCACACAAATAAAATAATTTAAACCAATAAAAAATGAGATAAATACCTAATTCTCACCTAGCTAAATTGATAACATATTCACCTAACTAAATTGATGTAAGCAATGACATCAATTTAGTTTGAGTTTGAGTTTAGGCTCCCATAATGGATCAAGTTTATGATCCAACACGGAGGGCATTGAGGAGGGACCTGAGCAGTATTCAAATTGCATTCGGAACACCTTGGATACTAGGAGGTGACTTTAGCGCTATCTTGGATAGTTCGTACAAAAAAAGGGTAGCGAGAAAAGGAATTGGTTACAAGTTTTTACATGATTTTTTTACAATTCCATATTCTTTTCGATCTGGGCTTAAAGGACCCCCTTCACCTGGATGCGTGACAAAAATTTTGAACAACTCGATAGAATGGTGGCTAATGTTCACTGGAATAGGGTAACCCCTGAAGCAAAGGCCTACCACCTCCCTCGCCTCAAGTCCGATCATAGACCCATCATCTTATGATCCCTAAGTAACCTTAGCATTATTGGTCAACGCCCGTTTCTTTATTTTGTAGGTTGGGCCAAGTACCCCCTCTTTCAATCGTTTGTTCGTGATAAATGGTTGCTGGAATGGAACATGCACTAAACGATTAAGTCTTTCACCGATCATCTTCGATCTTGGAATAAGAATGTGTTCGAGCATGTCATTCAAAAGAAAAAATAGCTCAAGCACATAATTTCAAGGATCCAAGTTGCTATGGATGAGTCCGGTAATGATGATTTAAAAGATGTAGAGATGGAGCTTCTTTTGAAACTTGAAGATATTCTTGATAATGAAGATCTTCTACGGAAGTAGAAATCTAGAAGTTCATGGTTACATGAGGGCGATCGTAACACCCGTTATTTTCATAGCTGTGCGATTTCCCATCATATTCAAGCTTTGCAGAAAACTGACAGGGACTGGTGTTATAATAAGGATACCCTCAGAGGGGAAGCCACTAAGTTCTTGGAAGCTCTTTACCGTGAGGAAGGACGGAGCTCGGATCAGTTCCCAATGAGGAATGCTTTCCCTAAGCTTTCGGATTCAGACATTCAGTTACTTAATGTCAGAGTTTCGGATGCGGAAACTCATCTGACTCTCTTTGATATGAACCCTCTCAAGTCCCCTGGAATTGATGGTTTACACCCTCATTTCTTTCAAAACCAGTGGGATACGGTGGGTAGCTCGGTGTGCAGTTGAATCAAAGGACCTGAACTCAACCAAACCATCTTGGTCCTTATCCCGAAAGTTGATAATCTTGATTCGTTCTTAGATTTTTGATCAATCAGTCTATGCACGGTTTAGGAGACTTTTCCCCAAGATCATTGCTTCCAATCAAACTAGTTTAATAGTTAGTCGCAACATCACGGATAATATCCTTGTTGCCCAGGAGGTTATCCATTCTAGGAGGAAAAAGAAAGGGAAGACCACGTGGATGCTGTTAAGGTTGATCTTGAGAAGGATTATGACCGAGTTGTGTGGTCCTTCCTCTCGGATTCCCTTAAAGATATGGGCTGTCCGACTAACATCCATTGGATTATTATGGATGTGTAGAACGTCCCAAAAGATCGATAAATTAATTTTAGGGGTTCGTTTTAACTAAAATTGAGTTTTCCTTTTAAAATAAAAAATAAGGTTTGAGAGAGTCACTACCAATATTTGTTTAGGGTGTGATTTGATCACCAAAAAATGTTGTCATTTTAATAAAATTTAATTTTAAAATTTATTAAAACAACTTTTAGGCATGTGTTATAGAAAAACAAAAGTTCGATAGTCGATTACGTATGTGGAAGGATTAGCATCCCTAAAACGCCTGAAAATCAATACTTAGTGGATTAATTATTGTCTTTGCAATGTAATTTATATATTCAAATTTTAATTTAATTAATTATCCCTTTTTATTTAAACAAATACAATGTTATTTAATCAATTAAATTTTTTTAGAGAGAAAATTAATCAATTAGTGCATTTAACAGGAGAAAGTTAACCACCTAATATAAGGTAGAGTGATATCCCTCTCATTTCCAACTAAAGCGGTGAATCACAAATTTTCTTTTAAAAAAATTTAAAGTCAAACTGTTAACATTTCAACGTTTCAAACCAATGGGAAACACCACTTAATATAAGGTAGAACGATGATTTTCCCTTATTTGGAAAGAAATAAGAAATACTATAATCATTGTATTTATTTATCTAATGTTATGGAACAAAAAAAATTTATTTATGAAAATTATCGAGCCTTTAAGAAAGATAGAGAATGTTCAAATATCTAGTTCAATTTTTTGTCACAAAGGGTAATAACTATTAACATTGAGTGACCATTTTGTAACAAATTGATGATGATAGTGATCCATTTGTAATTTTTAAAAGTTTAATGAGAAAAAAGAAAATTTACTCAAAGTTTAGTGACTATTGGAGTAGTTTACCCTTAATTTAATTCAAATAATATTATAATATAATATATAAAATCTTTAATTAAATCAATGTGATTAATTAGTTGCAGTATAAGTTAACTTTAAATGACAATTGAAAAGAAAACTCACTTCTTATTTTTCTGTTTTAAAAGTTCCACTACTTTTAAGTTTTAACACAACCATCCTCCACGTCCGGTGCCCGATCCTAGCCGGTAAGTTTTGAAACCCTAAAATTATGTTCAAAATTTTTGCTTTACGTCTTTAGAATTTGAGCTATGGATCGGTTTATGTTATCTGATCTGTGTCTGAACTACCTTGCCATATTTGATTATCCGTTTGTTTGTTACTATTCTCATCTTCTTCTCTCTCTTTGTGTTCACTTTGTGGAGATTAATAATTTTTTTTTGGGAGAGAAAGATGTTGGTTTTGCCGGAATAGCGGGCCATTATCGTCGCTATTTTCTGTTATTCTGCTTTTTGCGGCCGTGATACCCCGCTATTGACGTGAATTTTGCGCACACTAGTATTGAGGCCCTTACGTTGGCGCAGGTGCATCTACAAGGAAACAGCGGCTGCGTCACCACTATGCCACCCCTATTTGAAACCCTAGAACGTACTTATCAAAACTATAATTTCTTAGTAAGGATTTCAGATAAGTTTTAGGTTAGTCTTGGAGACTTGAATTTCAATAAATGGATTTGACTTTAAAAAATACTATATATTGTGTAATAAAGCACATATAAGTGTTATATTCTGATATTTTTCAAATTCTGTGATGTTTTGGATGTCTGTTATAGGTGAATTTGAATATTTGATATATATAGAGTTATCTGTGAATCTAAGTTCATGTTTTAATATCTTTCAAACATGTAATCTAACGAATCTTAATTCATTTTACATAATGTGTGCATTTCATTGTCACAATTTTGGTCATCGTTATTTAGTTTAATTGTAAAGTTAAGACAAATGGATACAATGTTATTAAAGAATGTATATTTGATCTAGTAATCAAAACTACCATTTATTAATAAGGTTTTCAAATAAGTAATCTTACTAACTTTTACATAATCATAGTGTTTGCATTTCATTTGCATAATTTTATATAAAAATGAAATTTAAATCCAAATTTTCAAATTCATTTTTCTAAATATAGTGTTGGTGGAAACTTCTCACAGTATATTTATCATGGTGCTTCTTCCTATTATGCTTAAGTTATTTATCCGGATCGATTTGATGACATTTCAACTAATGGATATAGTTGTCATATGCAGAGTAGTAGTACATCTATCATGTCAGAAGCTCCAAAAAAATTGAGTAAGCAATATAAAGCTGGACCAGATTTGTTTGGCTTCTATGCTTGTCAAATAGCTGATCTGTTGTCAGAAGATGAAAATGCCTTGGCCATTTCCAATGCATCTGAGTTGTCTCAAGGGAAATATGGGGTTGTCAGTGGTAAAGACACTTTGGACTGCAGTTGTAAAGATGCTGATTCACTTTTCCAAAACAGCATTGTTGCTGGGATTTCAGATTTCAAGAAAGGAAGATTGAAGGGATTACTTAGGCAGAGCGTGAATGATCTCACAATGGAAGTTGATGAGGTACATGTTCTTTCCAATCCTGTTTTCTGAAGATAAATGAGTAATGATTCCTACTATTGGGTACTTGTGGAATTTGATTTTCTCGAAGTGCTTATGGTTTTTGTTTTCGGAACTTCTAGAGTTAATAGTACAATTTTTTTTTATCTTTTTATAATATCAAACAATCATATTATCTCCTAAGACAAATGAAAAACTATTAATAGGCAAAATCTGGAATCCTCATTGTCCTCATGCTTGTGTACCTAATATCCCTCTCTCGTAAACATTGATTCTATGTTCTCTGCCATTTCAAAGCACTAATTTGTTTCTAATGATCAAGATATATCCCAATTCAGACCAGTCATGAAGAAATTATTAGTTTCATTTTTCTCTACCAATGTTTTCATGGGTGCAAGTCATAAAACTTCTTGCACTGAATATTCTATTTTGAAGGACACGTACATTCCTATAGTCACTTGAATTCCTTTCTAGTTTTTATCGCTTCGTAGTAACCTTTAGCTGGCTTGCTGCTTTAACGGTTCCCTTCTTTCTAAGTAAATGGTCAATGAAACAATAATGTAGAATTGGTTTTTGGCTCCCATCTTTCAGAGGGGAAAATATTGTAATAACCGAAAATTTTGATTATTGCAGATGTTAGACCCTGTTGTGGCTATGTCTGAGTTACGTTTTAAGCTCAGAAGCAACAGCTTGGTGAATTCAGCATTAGATGTTGATGCATCCCAGGATGCCAGTAAGAAACTTAAGATGCCGCCTTCCTGCTCATCAACCAACATCTCAGGAAATTCTTGTCCTATCAAATCTGGATCTTGCAAAGAGGTTATATTTCACACTTATCCCATTGTTGATTCTTGGTATTGATTCACCAGAAATTTATTTCATGCATGATTAAAGGAGCACATGCATTATCTTCAAATAGGTCATTAGATTGTATAAAATTCCAATTGCCAAGTTATTATACTGAAAATGGAAAGATTCTAGATATTCAGACGCTTTTGCAGTCTAACTGTTGCAATTAGTTTGTTCTGTGGAACTTTTGGCGGCATTAGATATATTTGCATATCGTATGTCTATGTATCTATAGTCATGTATGCATATTCGATTTGAAGCAGCTGAGGCATTTTTTTCTTGAGCTTGTGCTTACGAAATTAGGCATTATCATTAGTAACTTGTCAATAAATGTGTTTCATTATACTTTTTCCTTTTTTGGTAGAAGGAAGATGATTTGGAGTTCCTTCTAAAGAACGACAACCAGCTCCTGGTAGAGGAAACAATGAGAAAATATTCTGATGAATTATCCTCAACGGTGATTTTCTGGAAATTGTCCTTTTCAATAGTTTGTTTTTGGGTAAAGTACACAAATGGTCACTAAACTATGTTTTTTTTATAAAAAAGGCCTCATTAAAAATCCCCTTCATACCCTACATGTTATAAACATAACATGAAGGGCATAGGAAGAAGGAAAAGAGTGCCTCTAACTTTTATTAATGAGAACCATAATACACCTCCACACCTACATGACTAACTACTAACAACATAACCTTTAAGCCACAACTCTGTATACATAACGCACCCTAATAACTCCCTTAAAAAGAATAGCCAAGATATAACACCTTTAACCACAATAGAAACCCAAAAATCACCCTATACCAGCTTTTGCTAATTCATCCGCTTCCCAATTTGCAGCTCTCGAAATATGCCTTGTGATAATACCCTTCCTTTCCACACGAGTAGCTATATCCGTCACCAAGGATTTAAACAAAGGAGTACTAAGGTCCGGATTTTTAATCCACTTTAGAGCATTAGTCGAATCTGATTCCATTATAATCCTCTGGCTTGGACTGTAACCAACTTCCTCAACTTCCTCCGTAAGAATCAACCCTCTTTTGATCGCCAAAAGCTCTGCAAGTAAAGGAGGACCTACCCCTACCTTTTCTAAAAACGACCCAAGCACCGAACCACTACCATCCCTAATCAATCCACCAATTCCCCCCTTATCCCAACCTTTGACCATTGCACCATCTACATTTACTTTTAAAAACCCTTCCGGAGGACTCCACCTAGAAGAAGGAGTCCTCTTTTTCAAATTACCATTACAGTCTGCTAGTTTTAAGTCCCCCATCAAGGAATCAAAAGGAATATGGACATCCTTAAATGAAGTTCCAAACCAAGAAACAATTCTGAACCTTGTAATGAAGAACAACAACGCAGAATCAACCTTCCCTTGCTGGAAAATCACCTCATTCCTACATTTCCAACCACAACACAGTCCTAGGGATAAGCTTCCATATGAGAGATCTTGGAACTAGCTCATCCCACGCAAATAAGAATTCCATCAATTTAGCCGGAACCACAAAGCAAACATTCCAGTACTTTAAGAACTTAGTCCACAGGTCCCACACCACATCACAGTGCAGAAACAAATGTGAGACCGACTCATTACACTTCCTGCACAAAGAGCACACAGTGTCGTCCACCCCAGTAACTCCTCTCTTTAGCAGTTCCTCCTTCACCGCTACTATGTGATGAGCAAGTTGCCAAACAAAGGTTTCCACTCGTGGTGTAGCTACCCCCTTCGAAACATATCTTTCCCAATTACCTTCTACTTCATCATTACCCTCTCTATCAAAATACAATTGCATGCATGATTTTGCTGTAAAACAACCTTCACCAGTTCCCAACCAAATCCAACAATCATCCTCAACTAATGATAATGAGTAACTGTTCAAGAGAGAGATAAGCTGCAGCCACTGCTCAACCTCCCAATCCAACAGATTCCTTCTTGTCTGAATATCCCAGACCCCACCCGAATCATTATATAGCCTGAACTCTGCAACCTTCCCCCCTTTGTTATTCGACAGAGCAAATAACCTTGGAAACCTATCTTTCAGAGGAACCGTACCCAACCATACATCATGCCAAAACTGCACTGTTTCTCCATTCTCAGCTAACACAAATTTTTCCTAAAACAATCCCCAAATGCGTCACTTGAAAAGTTCTTAACAACTCCTCTCCAAATCCAAGAAGTACGTGCTGTCCAAGTATTCCGGATCATCATTGAATTTGGATCTATATTGTTTACACAACAGACCACTGTTTTCCACCAAAAGAATTTTTCTGCAGCAAATTTCCACACCCACTTCCCCATAAGAGCCCTGTTTAATAGCAACAGATTTGGAATCCTCAAACCCCCCAACTTCTTTGGCTTACACACCAATTCCCATTTGACCCAATGGATCTTGGTCTTTTTTTCTATCGATCCCCCCAAAGAAAAGACGCCATGATAGAATATAATTTGTTGAGAACACTAATAAGGATCCTAAAAATAGAAAGGTAATAAATTGGAAGAGAGCACAACACTGATTTAACCAAAACTGCCCGTCCAGCCAAAGATAAAGACTTTGCCTTCCAACCAGCCAAACTATTATAAAATTTTTGTACCACCGGTTCCCACAAGGAAAAAGAATTCCTCTTAGCCCCTAACGGTAGACCTAAATACTCCGATGGAAAAGCTCCTCTTACACAACCTATTTCCTTGGCCCAAGAAGCTAACTCCTCCTCCCCCACATTGATTCCAAAAATTCTGCTCTTATTCAGAGTCAACTTCAGCCCCACCAACAATTCATAAATTAAAAGCACCCTTCTAATATTCACCAAATCATGAGTAGAAGCCTTGCTAAAAATTATTAAGTCATCCGCAAATTGCAAGTGTGATAACATGAAAGAACGACCCATCGAGCCTAAATCAAAACCCGAAAATAGCCCTTTGTTCACTGCTTTCACCAACATTGGATGTAACAGTTCGCCTTCCAAATTGAACAACATAGGAGATAATGAACAATCCTGGCTTAATCCTCTAGTAGTGTATATTCTCTCTGTAGGTGTCCCATTTACCAAATCCGAAATGGAAGCTATTGAGATACACTTGTACATCCAAGAACTCCATCTATCTCCAAACCTCATTTTGCTCATTATTTTCACCAATATCCTCCAATCAACCGAATCATAGGCTCTCTTGAAATCCACCTTAAAAACAACTCCCTTCAATCCTTTTTTCCTCCAACACTCAATGCCCTCATTTGCTATAAACGAACAATCCAAAATGTGTCTCCCCTGTATAAATGCAAATTGAGATGGACTAATAACTTCACTAATACACAAGCTTAACCTTCTCGCTAGTACTTTTGAAAGAATTTTATAGAAACCCCCAACTAGGCTAATTGACCTAAAATCTTCTAACCCCTCCGGATTGGCCTTCTTAGGAATAAGAGAGAGGAAAGAGTGGTTGGTGTCATTATCCCAGTCCTTTCCCTCATAAAATTCCTTAAAAAAAAGCAACAGAACTTCCTTCAAACTTGACCAGAACTTCTTGAAAAAACCTAAATTCAGTCCATCCGAGCCAGGTGCTTTGTTACTATCCGAGTTAGCAATTACACCCCACATTTCCTCTTCAGAAAAAGGCTTCTCAAGGGTCATTATCTGTTGTTTCGAGAGTTGTAAAAAATCCAGGTCCAGCTCCTCCACTTCCAATGTATTTTCCTGATTAAACAACCCCTTGGAAAAATGCACCATTGAAGTTTTAATTAATTTTGGATCTGAAATGTCTTCATTGTCTACTTTGATGGATTTGATACCATTTCTCCTTCCTCTACCTCTTGCACATTGGTGGAAAAATCTAGTGTTCTTATCCCCATTCAAACTCCACTTCAATCTTGACTTTTGTAGCCAAATCGATTCCTCTTTTTTATACAAGTCCCACAACTCTTTCTTTGCTTCCACTAAATTCTTCATAGAAATCATGGGGAGACCTTGTTGCAACTGAAGTTCCTTCTCATGAATTCCTTTCTCCAACCTATTTATTCTCCCGGGATACTCTAAATACCCCTTCCTAGACCATTTCTTCACTGCTTCCTGCACTCCTATTAGTACGGTAGAAATCGGTTGTCTATTCTCCACTCTACATAGCTTGTGCAGCTCTCCCTCCATCATCTTACAAAAGCCATCCTCTTCCATGACATAGTTAAATAATTTAAACGGTTTCGGGCCCCAATTTCATCCCCTATTTTCCAGCAAGATGCTGTTATGATCTGAAGCAGGCCTTTCTAGGAGTTTTTGTGTTATCATGGGGAACATTGATAAAAAACTTTGATCCACTAAGAACCGATCAAGTCTCTCATAAGTTGGAATTTCTCTATTGTTGCACCATGTAAATCGACCTCCAACCATAGGCAAATCCACTAGATTAGCTTTACTCACAAATTCTCTGAAAGCAAACATTAAAGCTAAATTCACTGCACCTCCAATCTTCTCCTCCTGTGGCATAACCACGTTGAAGTACCCTCCGAGACAGACTGGACTGTCTAAATTCTCCAAAAATAAAAGTAGCTCCCCAAAGAACGCCTCCTTTTCTGAATCCACACTCTGTCCATACACATTTAAGAACCAGCAAGACCCTAGTACCTCATCAATAGTACCCTTATCTGCTACAAATCTCCTATGAATGATCTCCTCTTGAACCTGACACTCTTTTTCATTCCATAAAGTAATCAGACCACCAACAGAACCTTCAACTGCTGAAACTGCCGCAGCTGTCAACAAATTTCCTCCCATTTTCCTCACTACCGATTGATTCAACACTTCCATTTTCGATTCCTGAATGAATAAAACTAAAGGCTTTCTCTCCTCCACAACCCTCCTACCAACTCTAGCCTTTACCCTCCTACCCAAACCCCTAATATTCCAAGACATTCAATTCCAACTAGTCATCAATATCCAGCTATAACCCTGAATTCCAGCACCCCTTAATTACCCCCTGTACTTCTCTCTCCTTTATCAAAAGAATCGTTTTGTTCATAAAAGCTTCTTTCCCCCCTCTTAATGTGACCCCTAACAATTCACTTACGTTTCAGCACTCCAAAGCCTCTGCCCCATCCACTTCCTCATTATTATAAGCATGCTCTGAACTTGTACCAATACGGCTCCTAGATCCCCCCCCTCCTTGATCGTGAATAAACACGTTTGCACTTACCCCTTCCCACTCTACTCCCAGGTGCAGTCTTCCTAGAATTTTTTTGAGTAGACACAGAAACAGACCCCTCCTGCAGGGAAGTATGATACTGCACAACATTGAATCCCGTTGTAGTAATACAATAATCCTTGCTTAATCTCTCCTTCTCTTGATCCAGCCCACTCCTCACCTGTACTACCGAGCCCCTAAGAAACCCACTCCCACAGTCAACTTTCTCATGCTCACTGGGAGGATCTCCCAGACATTTCCCACTTTCTCTCCCTTCATTAACTTCTTCCGACTTTTCCTGCTGGATGGAGACATCACCTGCCTCAGTCACATCTTTGCACAGGTCAAACGTATTTTCCATACCTATGTTTAAATTCAAACCCCCCTCGGTATTTGTGTTTATCCCTTGTTGGGAACTTCTAACCCATTCGTCAACCCTATTTTGGGATTCTGGCAGCTCCTCTCCCACCTGCTCTTCTTGTCCATTTTGCACTTCTTCATTGCTCCATTCCAAAGAACTTTTCTCCCATGGGTCCTCTGCAACTTCTTCTTCCTCCATGTCTGTTAACTCAGGAAAAAAATCCTCCACACATTCAACCTTAATTTTAATCATGAACTTCCTCCCATATGTATTGATGATGACATGTTTGGGAATATCAAATGGACTCTCAACCCTTAGTAACAACTGTGCCACTCTGCAATCCACTCTATGTGCAGTTTGATCTTGAATTCTAACTAACTTGCCCCATCTGGATGCTAAACTAGAAAAGAACGGGACCGACCAACAGTTTAATGGAACACCAACCATTGAAATCGCACAATAAGCTAATGGGATGCCCCTCTCTTCCACAACCGGCTCCAATAATTGAAACCAGAACGACAGAGCTTCCCATCTTTCTTCCATTGCAATTCTTCTCTCCTCGACCGACTGAAAAACTACAAGACACGCATTCTCGCAAAACCCCACCTTATCACTTTCGCTTTGAAGCCCTCGTTCCGTAAGGCTTTCTGCACAAAGTCAACTTCGAAGATATCTTTACAAATGCCAGTAAGTGAAGATTTCAACCATAATCTCTCTTCCACCGGGATAAAGACTTCCAAAGATTTCTTCTCCTCTTTTTTATTCCCTTGACTGCTTACTTGAAGACCCTCTGGAACATTTTTCACCCCAACTACCGTGTCTCTATACGTTCTTCCATCAAGGAACCTATTCATCCTCTCCATTTTCTCTGCCACTTGTGCTGGAGAAGTCATTCTTCTGCCTTTCAACTCACCTGTTTCTACCCTTTTGGAACCCCCGCTCTAAACCCTTCACGACTCTTCATCTCAGATAGCTTGTCATATTTAGCCACTGACACAAAAATTATCTTCCCATCAACCCTGACATTATTCATCTTCTCCACCGCATTGCATAGATCCTCCTTGCTTGCAAAGTGAACGAACGCAAATGTGCAATCCTTGTATTTCAGTCTGTTATTGATAAATGGAATAAACACCCTAATGACTTTGCCATGATAACTAAAATGTTCCCTAATGTTCTTCTGCTCACTCTCCGACTAAGATTATCAACAAACGCAGACCAAGTACCCCCTCCATGGACCTCACTCACTTTTCCATCAGAAAACTTGCACTCTCGCTCGCTCACTCTCTCCATGACATATGCCAACTATTCTTCTATTTTGAGGTGATGATATCATTCTCACTAAACTATGTTGAAATTATCTTTTTGGTCATTAAAGTTTTGAAAGTTAGAAAATTATCATTGAACTTATCAAATTGTTACAAAACAGTCATTGAACTTATCTGATTGTTACAAAATAGTCATTAAACTTATTGAATTCTTACAAAATGGTCATTAAACTTATCTAATTGTTACAAAATGGTCATTAAACTTATCTAATTGTTACAAAATGGTCATTAAACTTATCTAATTGTTACAAAATGGTCATTGCACTAATCAAATTATTACAAAATGGTCTTTAAACTTATGGAAATTTATCTCTATTTTATAACGCGCGGTGACCATTTTTCAACAGTACAATAAGTTTAATGACCTTTTTGTAACTTTTGATATTTCAGTGGTCAAAAAGATCATTTTAGCATAATTTAGTGATTTTTTGTACTTTATCCTTTGTTTTTTCATACTCTTCTGTATCATGCATGCCACTTCCCGAAATTTTTTTATAGCTGAACTCAAGTGACATCTCTCTTCAGCTAGTGCATATGGAACAAAAGCTTGAAGAAACTTTAGATGCTATAATGTCCAAGTGTAGGTATGGCTTTGTTCCCGAGGAACTTACAGCTTTGAGTGTGCTTTAGACATTGTGCTATTCTGCAACGGATATTAGGTGCTCATATTATGTATTTTACCTTTCACATGTGAATATGATGTTATAATAATAGTGCCACTTTTTGCGTTGCTTCAATCAGTTTTTGCGCTTTAAACTTAAATTACAGGTCTATGACACACACTGAGAAGCGGCAGCTTCAGAAAATGATACAAAAGCTACCCAATGAAAATCTTGTCCGTGTGGTTGAAATTATCCAACGTGGTAGGCTAACTGGAAATACTTGCGGTGAAGAAATCTTTGTTGACCTGGAAATGGAGGTAAAGAAATAGCTTCAAGTAACATGATTTCAAGAGTTAATTTAGAATTTCAAACCTGTACCAAGGAAATGTCTTGTCTTGCAGGAAAATGCGACGCTCTGGAGATTATATTACTATGTTGAAGCCGTCGAGAAGGCCAAAATGCTTGCACAATTGCAATGTAGTACAACCCCGACATTATAGCCATCTTTCGGAAACCATGACAGCAGTTATACATGACCATCTATCAAGACTATTATTGTACATGGCCTTCGATCAGTGAATACAATCAGAAGATTCTCTGCAGGTATGCTAATGATCCATGTAAATTGTTCTTGTCTTAAAGGTGTTGACAAAGTCAGACTTTAAACTTTAGTACTTTGATGGATCTATGCAGTATAGTCATAGATTGAAACATATTTGTAAGTTCATTAGCAATCATGGATTCCTAATCTTGGGCGGCACAATAGTTTCAAGACCTGCAATTTTTGGTCTATTAAAGTGGAACTACAGGAACTACCTATAACAAGCAATCATGGGGTTCCTAATCTTGGTCAGTATCAGACCCTCCATTGATTACTACATAACTTCATATTCTAATTGAACAAGAAACATACAGGTTGGTGAAGATACTGTACACTGGCAGTGCACATAACTAACATAATCTCTAAAATGTTTAAACTTTGTTGCAATGTTTTATGATACTTTGTTTCCATTTGATCGTAATCTTGATGTTGGGTTTTTTTCTGTCATTGTATTTGTTTATTTCCCCTAAATTATCGAATAATGTTTTATTTTTATTTTTTATTTTTTGCAAAAGAAGATATAAGCTTAGCATCGAAAGTGGAATTTTTATCTGAGTAAAACTATTTTTTTATTAACTGACATTTAAAAAAATTATTTAAAAAAAAAACAATACTCTTTTGGAAAATTCGAACTATGTTAATCGCGTTTTTAAGAAAACATGTTTATAGGATATATCTTTATTAATGTGACGGGGAATTCGGACAAAACTTCCTAAATTTGCACTGATCAAAATTAAAATGAAAGAAAAGAGAGAAGATAAAAAAATTGTTAAAAAAGATTTTATTTGGAAAAAAGAAAACGTTTGTGATGCATGTTACTACACATTTTTACAAGCCCGTGTCGAATGAAGATGATAATATATAGGCTTTATTTTCAATTACTTAATAATGAGTGAACTATTTAAAAGATTATATTTAAGTAATTAAAAAATACATATTAAACAATGTTAAACAGTGAAAATTTGAAAATTTTATGTTAAATTTATTGATTTTGAGTTGTCAAAGATAAAATTTGAATTTGATCAGACTTATATCTATATAATAATAATAGATAAATATTAATTTTTGAAGAACATAACGACGCATATTCGTCCATATGATAAAAAGTTAATTATTTTCTTAAATATCTTTTTTGATTGTTATATATATATATATATATATATATATATATATATATATATATATATATATATATATATATATATATATATATATATATATATAATAATAATAATAAATATTGTTCAAACAACATTGCCTTCAAAAGTGATTTCAAGAATAAGAAAGAGACAAGGACAAAGAAGAAAATGTTGAAATGGGTTAGCATCAAACGTGCAAATGAGCTGTGATGTGAAATTTGAGATTTTTCTTTTCTTTTTTCTAATACAAAAACAAACAAGAAATGGTCTGAAATAATTATTGCTTTCCCACTCGATTGCCGGAAGGAAGGGTTTCCTCTCCTCTTTTTCAGACAAACTTTGAGAAACCTTCAAGTTTATGTACATTTATCATCATAATTCATCATGCATGCTCCTTAATTAATTTATCCTTTTCACATATATTACTTATGATATATGTCTGATAAAGACGTATATTTGTTTTAAATTATTATTTGTATTTTTAGATAATATACTCTCATATTATACATAATTTCACAAAACAATTGATATAAATTTCAAAGAACAAAAAATAATGATTACAGATTAAATCATCACTCGTCCACATTATAGATAGGTTAACTCCATTAAAAAATAGAAGAAACATTTTTTTTCGTGCAATCATAATTTTTTTTCTTTCAAATGCAAACTTCTAAATGATCATACTTTAAACCTCTAACATTATAAAGGGGAATTTTTCACGTACGACATACTTAATATAAGGTTAAAGAAAAGTGTTATCGGTTTTGTTATTATTATTTTTAATAAAATCAGTAAAAAATTATATAAAACATTATTATTTTTACCGGTTTTGTTATTATTGGGTGTTTTACCGGTTTTGTTAACATATCCGGTAAAGCGCTACCTAAAACATTATTTTTTTTCTACTGGTTTTGTTATTATTGGACACTTTACTGAAAATGTTAAAAAATATTAATATTTTAGGTAGAAATAATAATATTTTAGGTAATTTTTTTTACTGATTTTATTAAAAAAATAATAACAAAACTGATAAAATATTTCCTTAAACGTATATTAAGCCAGGCGCACGATAAAATTCCCCTTAGATGGTGTTTGGTTGGCATGAATCCCTTAGAATTAAGGAGAATTGGAATCTAATTCCACCGCTTTCCCATGTTTGGTCCAAGTTTTCCAAGGGAATTGGAATCTCTCATGGCTTCAACTTTCCATCAAATGAGGAAAAGTGAATTCCATCCATTCTATGATTGAATTCAATTCTCTTGTTGGAGGGAATTGAAATTTGACCATACTACCCTCATCAATCTTTTGATAACTAATTCATATATTGAATAAAAATATTTTTTGTTATTTCGGGTCGGGTCGGATTTCTAATTTATATATTCGGGTCGGGTCAGGTAAAACTTTATTTTGGTCGGGTCGGTTATTTTAAGTGTGATATTCGGGTCGGGTCGAGTTCAGATTTAGGGTGAAAAATACCCGACCCGAAAATATATATAATTTTACCTTATATATTTAGGAATAATTACAATAATACCTCTATATATATAGTTTTTTTCAATTAAGTCACTGTTTTTATTGAATAAAAATAATTTTTTTATTATGTCGGGTCGGTTCGGATTTCTAATTCATATATTCGGGTCTGGTCGGGTGAAACTTTATTTTGGTCGGGTCGGGTCGATTTTTTTAAGTGTGATATTCGGGTCGGGTCAGGTTTATGGTGAAAAATACCTGACCCGACCCAAAAAATATATAATTTTACCTTATATATTTAGGAATAATTACAATAATACCCCTCTATATATATATATATATATTTTTCCCAATTAAGTCGTTGTTTTTATTGAATAAAAATAATTTTTTTTATTATTTCGGGTCAGGTTTCTAATTCATATATTCGGGTCGGGTCGGGTGAAACTTTATTTTGGTCGCGTCGGGTCTCGGATGGAGGTACCCTTGTTCTCAGGTCGGGTCGGGTGGACCAAAAACCAGACCCAACCCGACCCATGTCTATCTATAATTGGGATGATTTTAACTTATTATGTTTATTAGTATGATTTTTATAATTTATTGAAATGAATAATCAATCAATAAAATTAAAATTTAATTTTTTAAAATTTTTATAATATATTACTACATGTAATTTATAAAGTAAACTAAAATTAAACAAAAAAAAGGTAATCCTATCATTTTACATTACTGAAATCAAATTCATCTGACATGTCTGCGAACTAAACAAAATATGGAATTGAATTCTAGTACCTGACAGATTCTAATTCTTCACAGATTCTAATTCCTTCACAGATTTTAATTCTCTAAAAAATATTCTAACGAACCAAACGCCTAAAGTTGATGAATTAAGAATTTAAAATGGATAAAGCCTGAACCCACCGTACCAATAAAGTCAAAATACGATCACCTTTTGGACTGACAAATTTAAATTTTCTTGAAATATGGAAAGGAGAATGAGTGAAGCATGCGTTCGTGGGTAGACAAAGAAGCATAGACGGAGATGTAATATTAATAGGACTGTAAAAAGTTGATCCGATTTGTAAAATTAATAGAAATTGATTTAGGTTAAAATTATTTTTGACCTGTATTGTGGTGATTTGAAATTGACTCGAGTCAGAATTAGTGTTGACTTGAACTCAATTTGGACATGGAAATTGTGGATTCGAACTCGACCTGCATCCGACCTGAGAATGACCTAAACCCGAATTAAACCGAAAATATGATACCCGAACCTGAACTACATCCGAATGATATGAACCCGAACCTGAGATTGACCTGGTAAATAACTGGTATTACTCGATCTATTTTCAACCTGACCTGTTTTCAACCTGACATGTTTTTAACCTGACTTGTTTTTAACTTGACCTGTATATGATCAGACTTGTTAATGACCTGATATGATATTTATCTAACTTATATATTAACATGGAAATCTTATAAATTATCAATTTTTTAACTTATGATGTAATTAAAATATTAATATGATTAGTTTTTAAATGTTATAATAAAATATTTATTATGATAATTATATTAATAAATAGACCTATTATATAAAATTATTTAATAAAATTAATAAAATTATTTAAATGTAAATTAGATAAAACATTATTAATAATGCAAAAGAAAATTTATATAGTTTAATTTATACAAAGAAAAAATAATATTAATAATAAAAGTATTTATTATGTAATATATATTAATGGTTTACATTAATAATATAAATAATTTTGGCAATAAAATAATAATTAATTTGATAATAAATGAATATTAGTATTAAACGTGATTCTCTAAAATATAAATATAAACCATACCGTTTAATTTTTGTACAAAAAATTATCTAACAATTATAACATAAATGAAAAATAATATAAATATAAACTATATTGTTTATATAAACTATATACTTTATTACTTTATATAGTTTATGCATAGTGTTTCTATAAATTGCATCGAATTGAAAATTTAAGAAGATATTTACAATTAAACCATGACTAAAATGAAAGAAATTAAAAATCAAATAAAAGTGGAAAAATGATGATTGTTGGAGGAGTATGAGCCTAATTAACCCAAAATATCTTGTTGGACACTATATTTAGCGCCAACTTTCCAAAATTTTCTATTCCCTCTAAATTTCTCAATTTCCCACTAAATTCCCAATTTCGATATATTCTCAAAATTTCCTAATTTCCCAAATAAAATCAAAATTTTTCACACAAAAATCTTTCTTTTAAAAATTTTGATTTTATTTGAATAATATATATATATATATATATGTAATTAAACATAAGTAACTAAAATAAAAGATTCTAAAATTAACATTAACATTTAATATATTTCCCACGTGTTCTTAGTGTGAATATATATATAAGTATATACATATACATATATATATATATAATTAAATGTTAATGTTAATTTTAGAATCTTTTATTTTAGTCACTTAAGTTTAGTTATATATATATATATATTATTCAAAATGAGTGGTGGGAGAAAACTTTT